TAATTTAGTGCATTGTATACATTTGTACGTGTAGATAATACATATAATACACGTTCATAAAACCGCTTTAAATAACTATCGAAAAATTCTAACAGCATTCTGGCGCTCTTGGGTAAATGCTTGGTAAAATAAACAGAAAAGGACAATGATTTTCCAACCCAACTTTATTAAAACCCGTTGACCACAGAAGTTTCATTTCGAGCAAATATTTCTGATTTCATTTAGTTCAGGGCAGGTGAAATTACAGAGTGAAAATATTAAACGCTTATCGCTCTAAATTACTTTGCCTCGTCTGAGTAAATCAAATTTTGGTTACCCGTCATTTAAGTTACAGCCAATTGAATAGTTACTGGACAATTTGATAGATTAACGAATGCACAAGTTAAAAATTTATTGTATGGTTCATTGTAAGTCGTTGTTTTATCTCAGTCGGTATCTCAGACTAAGGAGTAGTATAGACAGAGTGTCATAGAACTAAACATGAAGCAAAATAATAATATTTTAAAATCTATCCAGATAAATAAAATTGAAGTGTCTGTTTGTAATGTCAAAATAAGAGCGTTTTACTAAATGCATATGAAATTATATATGTTTTTAAAAACATTGTCTGTCTGTCTGTTTGTTCTGGATAATCTCTGAAACGGCTGGACTGATTTTGACTGGACTTTCACTGGAAGATAGCTGATGTTATAGGGAGTACCATAGGCTACTTTTATTTTAGAAAAAGAATTAGGGTTCCGCTCAAAAAAATTAAAACGTACCTAGGGACGAACCCGAACGAAGCGAGGATGAGTCTCTAGTCTAATATATAAATATCTCGTGTCGTGGTGTTTATGATCGCACTTCTCCGAAACGGCTCGACCGATTTTAATGCTTTTTTTTGTATGTTTGGTAGGTATGAGAATAGATCATAAAGTATTTTTCACCCTCCTACCCCCACCCCTCATAAAGCCAAAGAGTTTTTTGTGTAGATTGAACTCGGGCGTAGCCGCGGTTTCCGCTAGTAATATATAATATTTTATAATATTATACAAATATTAATAGAATATTGATTACTGTGATAAGTAAATAAACGTTAATAAATCATAACTACAAATAGATAACAGATTTTATTATAATAGAAAAATTATGAAATTAGCTAGTATTATGTAATCTCTCTTTCAAGGAGAAGGGAACTAATGCTTAAAAAATACAAAAGAATATAGTAGGTATTATTTTATATAAAATTTATACTTCTAATATTATTATTTTTTGATACGCTGGGGAAACCCATGATGGGGACCCTGCCGGCCGTCAATGGGCAGGGTACAGTGAGAATCTTACTCACTAAAACCCACAGTGGAACCCGTCGTCGCAGTGCAATGGGGCGTTGCATGATCGCTTGCGCATTCACTACAACACCCCTGACGTCTAATATATAAATTAACATAATTATACTATTATAAACACAAACGAACAATAGTAGAAACTTATTTACATAAATCTGACAATTAATTATTTAGTTTGAAGCACTTGTATTAATTTCTGGTTTGTGGATACAATTCTACAAAAACTATCCAGTGATACACCGATTCGTATATCGCGCTTGTTCCAGCAAAAGTAAAGTCAACTTGACAAAGACTCTTGACAGCTTGATGTAGTCACAGATTAATTATCGAATATCAAAATAGAGGATTTATCCTTATACTATGCTATGTTTGACTTCGATATTTTTTGGCGAGCTCCGTCTATATAATTCTTTAGTCTGAGCCCGTTATATTGTTTTTACGACAAGTAGTAATATAATGTTCGTAAAACCAAAAGTATGTACATTTGTCTTATGTACTAACTAATAACGTAGGATCTATTAAATAGTAGTAATATTATGTTAAATTTAATTTTATTTACACTCGCCCAGTTTTTTATTTTGCTTTGCCTGGCTAATAGTGCAAGCACTCGTAACAGACGGTGTACGTGTACGTGAAAAAAAAAATTAAAATTTCTTTTTTTTTTTGTTAAGTGAGAAATTCTTAAAATGTAATGAATGTAATCACAGCGAAAACTAATAATATTTCTCGCACATTTATTTCTCCGCAGTCAATTTAAAATTTTCTATAGTAAGCGCTGCTTTTAACTTTTTACTCGCCTTAAAATGAAAAGCTTTTATCACTTTCAACTTAATTTTTTTTATATTGCTTTTGACAAACGAATATTTGCAAAACTATAACTACGACATGTTTCTGTGTTCTATTATTTTAATGTTAAAACATAAAAGTAACTATAACACTACAACCAAATCTCTAAACTAAAAACGCGGGAACACCATAATTCTTGCGGTATATTCTTTTTTATATATTCTTTAGGCCAGGAATACACAAAACAGTTTTATTTTAATGAACTAAATATTATATTATAATTCGTTTTACTTAAAACCTTTAATATAATTACTGGAACTTCACATTATATTGATTTTTGTACCAATGAATAATCGATATTGATGACAAATAGAATAACAAAATACAGTTCTACAAGGATCTTTTGGCACTTAGATGACATTAACATGAGGGCGTTGGTATGAAATAAGGTTACAAGCTAACAAAATCTACTTAGTTTCAGGGAATTGTTTAAACTCTATCTCTATATTCCATAATTCAATTTAAACTTAGGAAATGTTTGGATGATAGAATTTATTACATGAAAATAAAAATAAAATATGAATAAAATTAAATTATTTAATATAACTTTTTTTTTTTTGCTATAATTATTTTCAATTCTTGCAACTGTTCGTAAAGATATATCTGAAATCGTATTTTCTTTTACAATTTGAAAGAGAAAATATGTTTCATAAGGATACAAGATATGAATTACTAATTCGTGGTAATAACGGGCACACTTACGAGGTATGGTATGATAACTGTTGCAGCTGCGACGCGCTCATTTACTCTTTCAAATGGTATAATCGGAGCGCTAGATTGCTTTTCTTTCATAAAGAAATCCTTTATTTTTAGTACCACCTCTCTAACATCATAACCTAAATCTATTTAAGGTGCGTGTTAAAAAGCTTCTCCTGGGCAAACTTGCTAGATCGTAGACCTTATCTGTGCCTTCGAGCTAGATAAAGGTCAAGAGTGAGCCCATTTCTAATAAAAAAGAAACCACTTTGTATCAATTTTGGCATATTTTGAGATATTTTTATTTAAATATATAACCGTGAAATATACACAACAAACGTCAATTCCAGGTGTCTGTCAAAAGTGACGCTATACAAGATGGCGTTGTTAGGTCTGATCTCGGCCACGTGCAAAAATATCCTTGTAGCACTATAAGTACATACTACTTAACAAGAACCGTAATTCGACACATGCCTTAATCAAAGCGAACATTTCATTCATTCATTCGTTCATTCATTTCAAGTATAGCTTGCGAAATAAAATGAATGAGTGAATCTACAATATTGCGAGTTCAATCGCGTTCTTAATTTCTATGTAATCTACAACTACTAACTTTATAAAATACCGTTTTATGCAGTACCCATGTAGCGCTTGAAAACCCGAGTTGTGTTTTCAAACCTATTGGATCGGACTAAAGCTTAGCTGGTTTTAATCAACTTCAAAATAGAAAGATATTACGTTCGACGTGTGTGTTAATGTATTTATAAAGATTTTTCGGAAAGGGTTTTTTAAAATAATTTAGTTAGTTGACAGCCAACTTTATTTTCTATCAAAAGCAATTTTTTTGACGTGAAACATAGACATTGAATAAATACAATCAAGTTTATTTAAGAATTAGAGAGATATAGATAATATGTTAGAGTAATTTGAAATATATATCACAAAAGTTCCAAATATATCTATACATATAATAAAATTGTAACTAAGTCGAATCTGTACATTAAATATTTTTTGGAAAATCTTATTGAACTAGACGTTATTATCGATACAGAGGCCGAATCTATAGATTTTAGAATTTTTTTTCTGTCTGTCTGTCTGTCTTTCTGTCTGTCTGTCTGTTACCGCATCACGAGAAAACCACTGGACAGATTTTGATGAAATTTGGTATGATGATAGTTGGTTATCCGGGTTAACATATAGGATACTTTTTACCGCTGGAAAATATCTCATTTCTTAGAAAAAATACAAAAACTGCAATGTAAGAGTATACTAATATGTAAAACCAAGAATTTGATTTTTGATCACCTAGACGCGGGCGGAGCCATGGGCAGTGCTAGTTTAAAATAAAATCTTTACTAAATAAACTCGATAACTTAACTTGACCCGACCTGGGACTCAAACCGAGGACCTCTGGATCTGCAGCCGTACATACTAGCCACTAGACCACTGGCAGTTAAAAAATAATCTAAAATCAATTTGACGGGAGCTAAACTTATTTTTATTTAGAATTATATTTTTCGTATAATTAGCCTTAAATAATTTATTGTCTTAAGTGCCCTTTTCGCCTACTGAATTTATAATCACATGCGCCTTAAGAATACAAACATTATGCTAGTAATATAAATGAACTCTCACATAATATAATTAACCTTCAGAATATTTGATCTTTATAATGATCTTATGTGATTGAGAATTTCATTCAACTTTCTGAACTTTGACTGTTCTTATTGTCTCATTTTATTTTAAGGTGATATCAGATAATAATTAAGTAATACTAAGGTAATAAATTATGCATTAATTTAAAAAAGTATTGTATGTTTGTATTTAACCCTTTATAACGTCGCAATCCTGGGCACGGGTCTCCTTTTACTGGTAGTCCACCACGCTGGTCAAGAAACCGAGACCTGGAATTTGAACCCGCTTCACTCCAATTCCCAAACGAGCACGTTACGACTGGGATACTAATGCCTGTAAAAACTAGCACACATAATAGTTATTAATAGAAAATTTTATTGAATTATACTAAAACACCCGGAAACAATAGCCAGACGTTATCCTGCCATAGACTAGAAATCGAACCCCATCGTTACCTCATGAAATACGAAAATTAACACTTATCTTCTTTTACAGTTTCTCGTGTGCTACCCATATCCTCAAGAATGGGGGGAGTCGTACGCTCGGACAATGGTGCTGATGAGATTTTTGATATACTACTCCCTTCCCCTCGCCGTCATCGCTCTATTCTACGTGTTAATGGCCCGACACCTAGTGTTGAGCACGCAGAACGTGCCTGGAGAGATGCAAGGAACGCAACGTCAGGTTAGTGGTGAATATACTTACTGGTAATCATGATGGACGCTAAAACAATATTTGCAGAAAGTATACATATAAGATGGAGTAAAATCGTTATCTAGACATAAGTTAGACTTAGGCTTTTATGTCATTTTTAACCGACTAAAGGAGAATGTGATTCATTCAGCTAGCAGCTTTTAATTTCTAGTAAAAAAATATTATTTTTGCATTTATTTGTTTTTTTTTTTGCAAAGGCGGTATTTTGCGATATTTATCTTTATTAAGCTCACAGAAACTGATTAGTGTGATTTTTTACGCAGAATTACTAAAAACATGCACATTATAGAACCTAAGCAAACCAAAGATATCTTTAATAAACAGACATATTTTTACTCACTCTATCTATACTAATATTTTAAAGAGGCAGAGTTTGTTTGTTTAAATGTGCTAATCTCAGAAACTACTGATTCGAATTGAACATTTCTTTTTGCATTAGATAGTCCAATTATTGAAGAAGGCTATAGGCTATATATCATCATGCTATATACAAGGTAGCGGTGCAGTAATATAATATATAGTCTATCTATTCCATACTAACCGTTAAAACGTACCTAAGGACGAACCCGAGCGAAGCAAGGGTAAGCCACTAGTTTATTCTATATAGTAAATCTTAAATTGATGTACACAGTTTCACAGAATTTAAAGGCAGGTGTTGGTGTGCTGCAAGGGGCATTCGAGGTTACAATTTAGTTTAAAGTTTAATAGGATTAAAGATCCTCCGATGAAACCTTTCATTAATAAAGGATTACAGTCCGTCTGTCTTCTAAGTACTTTTCGTGACTTTTTTGAAATTCATATAAAAACTTGCGCTTACGTTTTTCTTCGTTTATACATGATGTAAGTTATTTTTCTATTGCATATATTTTATCTAAACATTTAATAAAATTTTAACTCAGTCGAATCTGTACATTAAATGTTTTTTGGAAATTCTTATTAAAATAGTCATTATTATCGATACAGAGGCCGAATCTATCATTTTTAGAATTTTTGTCTGTCTGTCTGTCTGTTACGGCATCACGGAAAAACCACTGGAGGGATTTTGACGAATCTCGGTATGGTGATAGCTGGTTATCCGGGTCAACATATAGAATACTTTTTACCGCGGGAAAATATATCATTTCTGAGAAAAAATACAAAATCTGCATTGTAAGATGATACTAATACCTATGTAAAACCTAAGAATTTGGTTTATGGTAATCTGAACGCGGGCGGAGGCACGGACAGTGCTAGTCTAAACATGTAATAAAATTCTAACTGTCGAATCTGTACATTAAATATTTTTTGGAAATTGTTATTGAAATAGTCATTATTATTGATACAGAGGCCGAATCTATCGTTTTTAGAATTTTTGTCTATCTATCTGTCTGGGAACGTATCAGGAGAAAACCACTAGATAGATTTTGATGATATTTGGTATAATGATAGCTGGGTATCCGGGTCAACATATAAGATACTTTTTACTGCAGGAAAATATCTCATCTCTCAGAAATCTGTACTTAATATTAAAACGAAACTAGGAACGAACCTGAGTGGAGCGAAGGTAAGTCGCTGGTTGTATAATAAAAACAAGTCAATTTTATTTGTATGTAGAAAATTATCTCTGGCATTAAAAATTCGATAAAATTATTTTAAAAACCTTAATCGGTGACTAAAAAGAAAGAAAGTAGGTACATATAAATGAAGAAAATTAAAGTAAAAGAAATATGGTTGAAATGAAATAAGAAACTAACAAGTCTCACATCACTTGTGGAAGAGAACGTAATAATAATAAAAATAAACTCTTTATTGTACACCAAGAATAAAAGAAAATAAATAAAGACAGAATAGAAATATACAAGAGGCGGTCTTATCGCTAAAACAGCGATCTCTTCCAGGGCAACCTTTAGGTGTAGGAAATAGCAGACTGCAAGACGGAAGGGGTGTATATAATAGAGTTAAATATATAAAATATATAAAAAAGTAGACTAGAAAAATGCATAAGTATATATGTTTATAAGTATAGATACATATACATATACTTACATAGATACACATACCTATATATACATATATATTATATAAAATTAAATATAATAAAAATATAAATAAAATAGTAAAATATAATAAAACGTACATATACGGTTAACATTTTTATATTCGAAATGGCATAGCCAGTGTCAAAATGGTCTTGAAAAGTAAAGTAACTACAAAAAACTGGCAGCTAAAATGTTTTCTCTGCAAACGGTTCCCGCTTTTTGGAAATTTGACCAGAACTTAAGTTTAAAGCGACTGTCAACTTCAAGGCATACTTAAAACCAACTCTGTTTGCTTGGCCTAGATAAAATTGCACTTAACCTGAGTAAAATCGCCACAACTTCGATCATCTATACTTTGACCTTACAGCTTTGTCTTATACTTTTATTTTCAAAATACCTACACTACTAAAATCTCAACAAAAGCTCATTTGTCAAATGCTAAAGCTCGAACTATATCTATACTAATATTATAAAGAGGTAAAGTAACTACTAATCCGATTTGAATTTTTTTTTGCATTAGATAGTCCGTTTATTGAAGAAGGCTATAGGTATGCTATATATCATCATGCTATATACAAGAGAGCGGAGCAGTAATCTATACATAAAATAAAATTGTAACTAAGTCGAATCTGTACATTAGATATTTTTTGGAAAATCTTATTGAAATAGACATTGTTATCGATACAGAGGCCGAATCTATAGATTTGAGAATTTTTGTCTGTCTGTCTGTTAGTTACCGCATCACGGAAAAACCACTAGAGGGATTTTGATGAAATTTGGTATGATGATAGCTGGTTATCCGGGTCAACATATAGGATACTTTTTACCGCGGAAAAATATCTAATTTCTGAGAAAAAATACAAAAACTGCAATGTAACAGTATACTTATATGTAAAACCTAAGAATTTGGTTTTTGTCCATCTGAACGCGGGCGGAGCCGCGGGTAATACTAGCATATAATATAATTAAGAAATGTCCGTTGAAAGAGGATTCCTCATTGTAACACTCCGGCGAAGCCACAGGAAAAGGCTATGGTAAATAAAAAATGGTCGAGTCAGACTTTGTCTGACATAGAAATTATAAAAGACATAAAAAACTTTTTAACAAAAAAATAAAAACCGACTTCAAACAAAAGCACTAAAAAGTAAAAAATAACTGATTGGCAGTTTTAATATACTATACATATCTAATCAAATATTTTCGAAGTCGGTGTGCTTTGCTTTGTATGGGCTGGCACCGATTAGAAAATATTTGATTAGGTATGTATTTACTAGGTAGGCTTTAATTACTTAGCCAAAGCACACCGACTTCGAAAATATTTGATTAGATATGTATAGTATATTAAAACTACCAATCAGTTATTTTTTACTTTTTAGTGCTTTTGTTTGAAGTCGGTTTTTATTTTTTTGTTAAAAAGTTTTTTATTTTTCCCTTTTTAGTGTAGACAGTAGTAGCATAGTAAGGATTCTAACGTGTTAGGCTTGTCAATTCAAACAAAATAAGCCCAAACTCAAAGTATCTACTATTAGCCGTTGAAGAGTTCCACCTATCCACCTTCTGGCCTTGCCATCAGATCAGGTCAACAACACCGAACCACTGTACTATCAACGGAAATAGAAATACTTGCAAAGTTTCAAGTCAATATGACAATTAGAAGTAGGTTAAATTCATCATTAGTTGTTTTTCCACCCTTAGGGGTGGTATTTTTTTTTTGAAATTTAAATGGGACCAATCTGGAAGTATACCCTTTCAAACAAAACAAAAATGGTCCAAATCGGTTAACAAATGACGGAGTTCTGAGGTAACAAACATAAAAAAAACATACAGTCGAATTGAGAACCTCCTCCTTTTTGAAGTCGGTTGAAAAGACTCAAAGTAAAAACTTCAAGGATCATATTTAATTTATAAGATGCGCATAAATTAAAGTAGCTATATTCCTTTCAAGACGGACCTTTTAACAGTACTTAGGTTATTTTAGGAGACGTAGTTACAACATTTGAGAAAAAACTTAATGTTTGTGGTTCAGAATGAAATCTAAATGAAGGTAACTCAGCGATCAGAAGATTTCAGGTTTTTTATGAAGTAAAAAAGATTCTGCATATATTTTCACGTAAAAAACTAGTAAATAGGCGAGTATTTTTTCCGACTTCAATGAAAAGGTGGTACATAATTCGATTGTATGTTATTTTGGTACGTATATTACATGATATGTTAGCAGATGGAAAATAGATTTATATATTTTTTTATTGAATAGGTCATATGTGCATGTCACAGGTAAATTGTAAAAACCGTGAAATTATACTTGTCCGGAGTTTTGTCTTTTTTTGTTTTTTTTTTGCAATATCACGGGACAGTTTAAGGTATATTATAATTTCACTAAGTACATTTGCTAATATTTTGAATCAATGAGCTTTTGACAATTTAACGAAATAATGAAGGCTGTTAAATTGTGAATTAACGGTCACTGATTGGCCAGGCTTAGACATCTTTTTTTGCACAGCATGAACCTTGGACTTAGTATAATAAAAAAAATAAAAACGTAAAAAAATATATCGTTTTATTCTACTCATAAAAATAAATCGTACTAAGTAATATATAAACGTGAAAGCTTAGATGGATGTTTGAATGTGTTACTCCTTCATTCCAAAACGACTGAACCAATCTTGATGAAATTTGGTACAGAGAGATATTATAGTCTGGAATAGCTTTTTATCCCGAAAAAATGCGCGATTCTTGTGGGATACATTTGTTTCTTTTTTTCTAGAGGCGAACCCGAGCGAAGCGAGTGTGAGCTGCTAATTATAAATAAATATCTCTATTGTTCTAGATGCGAGCTAGAAGAAAAGTAGCACTGACTGTGCTAGCCTTTGTGCTAGTATTCGCAGCTTGTTTCTTGCCGTCACATGTATTCATGATGTGGTTTTATTATTGGTAATTTTAAAGATTTTTTTTTATGTAAGGCACTGTTAAATGAAGAAATTGTTTTATGGATGCTAAAAGTGCATATATATATTGAAATAACGAGCCAAAAGTTATTTTGATATATTTTTTAAAAAATATATCAAAATAACTTTTGGCTCGTTATTTCAACAAAAATCATATAATTCGAATAAAAAGGAATCTTAGCCCTTATTAAAAATCTTTGTTAAAAAAGCACTTTTAAGAAATAAAATTTGAAGAAAACACCATATTAAACTGTTTATGTAATACTAAACACGTAATTATGTATATTTTTACAAGCATTATATGTGAAATATGTAACTAGGTATATAGATTTTGAAATACGTACAAAAATACCTAAATATGATATCATATATACAAAAGATACATTTAATGTTAATAACATATAGATACTTACATTTATTTTTCCCAGTCCCACTGCACAGGACGACTACAATCCCTGGTGGCACGGCTTTCGGATCGTTGGGTTCTGCTTTTCCTTCCTGAACAGTTGCGTCAACCCCATCGCTCTCTACTGCACTAGCGGTATATTTAGGAAACACTTTAACAGGTATTTTACTTAACGAAGTATTTTGATTTAAAATTATATTACGTCTTTGTATATTTATTTTATTTACTTCTTAAGTAACTATTGACGAACTTTAATGTTATGAATAAAAATAAATTGACGACACGAGTAGCTCAATTTGTAGTGACCCTACTTGCTATGCCAGCGGTCGCAGGTTCGAGTCCCGCTGGGGGCATTCATTTGTATAATGAGCACGAATGTTTGTACTCCAGTCATGGGTGTTTATATTTATAATACGTATGTATTTACAAGTTGTATATGTGTAGTATATCAACTATCTGGTATCCATAACACAAGCCTCGTAGCTTAACATGGAACTAGATGGTGCTGTGTGCTAATGTCCCAGCATATATACATATATATATACATATATATATATATATATATATATATATATATATATATATATATATACATATATATATATATATATATAACTTTAAATTCATACATATTATAAATATGAACACCTATGACTGGAGTACAAGCATTCGTACTCATCACACAATGTCCACAGCGGGATTCTAACCCGCCACCGCTGGCATAGCAAGTAGGGTTACTACACACTGAGCCAAACGTGTCGTCAAATATATACCTGTCCACTTGTCTAAATTATGAAAAATAGGAGATTAAGGTTTTGTATAAAACTACCTATTTAGATAGTCTTAGCGCGAGCGAAGCCGCGGGTTCTGCTAGTATTAAATAAAGTATCGCTACATATAAACACTTTTCCTGTCATTTTCAGGTAGTTTTGTTTTTATTTAACATAAAAAAAAGAAATGTAAGATTAATATCAAAAATTTAAACAGCTCGATTTAATTTTAAAGGGCTTCTATCGCCTTTGTTTTATTTGAATCCTCTGTCCATTTTAATTCGAAATCCTCTTTCATGGTTTTATTAAAGAAAATTTCATACATATTTTATTAAATAGGTGTATGCTACAAAATATTTTGTGTAAAGTAAAGACGCTCTTAGAAGGCTTTACAGGAAAAAAATATACATAGCAAAATTTAATTAAATGAGCATGAAGCACTTTAAGTATTTATAATTTTGAGAACATTAATTGCCTGTTTAGGATTCTTATTTACTCGGCAAGTATTTTTTTGATAAATCAAGATCATATCCTAGTATAAATTTTTAATCCCTGCGAGTATCCCATCCAGCTCTTTTTTATGTCCCACTGCTGGGTTCCGGTTTCCCTCCCATTAAAGATTAGGCCACAGTCCACCATGCTGGCTAAGTACGGGTTGGCGGACTTCACATATCTTTCGGAAACTAGTGAAGTTCTCTCAAACATGGTTTCCTAAAGTTTTACTTAACCGTAAGGCAAGTGGTAATCATATCGAAAAAAGGTTGTACATATACAGGTATATAAAATACCAGACAAATTTCATATCCCAACAGCGACATTAAGAATTTCTCGTGGAATATTACTCTAACAAAAAGGACTGTCGTCTTCTACCTATTCTATGTTATTCTCCCGGAGATGATGGCCACTATTTCTTTTTTATCACATGATTTTATATTGGTTTTGGCTAAATTTTAACATATTTACACGAAACTACAGAAAAAAATATTTCCTCTATCTTTCTTACCTTTCTTTAACATAGTAATTTAAAAAAAGTCGTGAACTGATTTAAATTCAACTGTGGAATTTTATTTGGAGCTACTTTAAAATAATAATAATAATACCCAATAATTTTATTTATTTTCTCATCACAAAATATATCAACATGATAAGCTTTACAAAATGTGTCATTCATACTTCGATTTTTTTTGCAATTTACTGATTAATATATTTTTTTCAGATATCTTCTCTGCCGTAGTGTTTCTACGCCCGGGACTCGCGGGTCACTTTCATTGTCAACATCAAGACGCCTACATTCTAGCCGTAAAACTAATATCAGTATGGTGCCAAGAACGTGAGTAAATTGTGCTAGAAATAAAATACTGTAAAAACCTACATATATAAGAAAAAGATGGAAAAATTCAAAAATTATGAGTAATATTGCCGTTTTTTTGCATTTTCCTATGTGGAAAATTGTGACCATCATGGCACAGAATATGGGAGTATAACATTACTTAATACTCGGCCGTGAATTCGATTTTCATATAGAATAATATTCATATAGATTGTTAAGACAATGTTTTTTTTAAATAATATTATGTGGTCTCCCAACATACAGCATATTATAAATTAATTCACGTTTTAATATTGCTATAATAGTCTACTGTTAGTTAAGATTTTTTTAGTAAACAAACAACTGTTAAGGATAATTTCAACTCACGTCCACATCTATTTTTATTTTGTAACAAAGTTTTCACAAAATTGAAACATAAAATTGAATATATGGCGATAAAAACGTTCTTACACAAATATTATATTATAATGGAACAAACAATAAGTTCACATATTTAATTATAAATTGTAATACACTTGTTACTCTCCTTTTGTCTCGGCGCCATGATAAAAGGCTTAAACTCATATTTCTAAACAAAATATGTTGACGGGATTTGACACGGGTCGTAGTTAAAATTACCCTTAATCGTTTTATCTTTTTATATGTAAATGATTTTAGAAAAAATTATCAACAATATTATTTTTGCAATTTCATTCAAAAGAACATTTTGTCGAACGTGCCTTGCCCATGGCGTCCCAGAACCAGCCTTGCGTAAGCTACCAATATGAAAATCCAATATTTTTCCTATCTCCGTTTTTTTGTACTTCGAAATATGAAAAACAAAAAATATTACCCTAAAAAGTTTGGCTTTTAGTCGTTAGTAACGTCAATTGACATCCCGCACGACTTTATAACTAAAAATATATGGCTTAAAATTCATTATTCCAATTTACAAAAAAAACACAGGAGTATTCCATTTTTATTCATACCTTAATATTCTCGATCACAGCTGTAATATTTATTCATAGCTATCTTGTAATTTCTGTAGCTTGTAATTTCAATGTAAATACATACAAAGAAAATTCTTTTCTTGTAAATAAATTATTATTATTATATACTCAAATAAAAAAAATATAAATTCATAATATTTATATTTCATATAGTAAAATAGTTTGTCTTTCCACAGAACAAGCGTAGGACGTGACAGCAGCATTCGCCTTTTGAACAACGGCTCTTCGAATCTCTGAGGGCGGCATCGTCCGCACTCAGCGGCAAACAATAACCAAGAGAGGACGAAGGAGAACTATAGGAAGTGTCTAGTTTTCAAAGCTGACAACATGCCCCCCTTCCCAAAGTGCTGTGAAAGTGAAAACGGTGTAAAACACGCAGAAACCAATTTAGATGCTAAAGACGTTAGTACTGAGAGCTTTTTACTACCCCTCGATAATTTTGGACGGAGTTAGTGCTAATATTAGCGTTTATAAGTTACTTGTAAGATAATTCACTAAATTACTATTACATTAATTAACATGAATTATAGTTATTTACATCATATATTTCGCGATAGGCAAGTAGAAACTTACAACGGATAGAGACACTATGAAGTTCGCCGATAATGTTAATAAACAAATTTCCTACAATAAAAATAGTACAGTAACCCATACAGTAGATGTTATCGTAATGAAAATCCAGGCAAATGTGAAAGGTTGCCAAATAATATCAATTTTTATACCGATCGGTATCCAACTTTAAATCATACCGTAAACACTAAAGCCGTTCCCGGATTTCATATAACATTATGTATGACAGTCGGGAACGCGTCACCCCTATCTATCTGGCTTAATAGATTGTGAGAAAACTATAGAAGATGCCTTACGTTAGTCCTGAAAACACCCTCTCAGAAAAAAAAATCTTCGCTTATAAGCAGTACTTATCTGAGATATAATTATTTAACGAAATAGATTTATAATACAATATTTAACATAAACTTAGTGGATAATTAAAATTAATTGCTAGTCAATGTGTAAAATATCATAGATTAATGCATTTTTTTTTTTCATAATTTAAGAGTGCCATAAAATTTCAATGAAAACTTAAAAATAGCTAAATACTGTATATAATGTAAATAAATACAATGTTGAACAATATTCCAAAGAAGAATGCTTTCTGTTTGTTTGTTTCTAATTTGTTTTTTTTTATCTATACTTATTAATAAAATTAATTGCAATTTACATGGGATTTTCACTTAAAGATAATATAATCGAGTAAGAGTGACATGGGATATATTGCATTCTGATAAAAAAAAGGTTCCCGTACAATAGTTGATAGAACAATAACATAAGTAAATTATACTGTATTGCCGATATATTTATTCGGATGAGAGGCTATTCTTTAACTTATTGTTACGTTCCACGGTTTCTGAGATGGATGGAGATAAACGACACACGTACACACACACGCACACACACACGCACACACACCCGCAATGAGATTGGACGCTATGATTAAAATTCTATCAGAAGGATACTTTTAAAATATTTACTCCGCGCAAAAACCGAACCCGTGACCCGCATAGCTAATATTACGTCAAAGAACAGATGTCACAACTATAAAAGGACTGTAAAACTGACAACTAACATTTATTACAGAAAATTCGTCGTTTAAAATTAAACAAGATACAAGTTCTACAATTAGAGCCATGCTTCTTTCATTTTCCCGCTTCAAAAGTGACATGACTGAAAGATTACGTCGCCTAGAGTTCATTTTCTTTTTATTAAATAATATAATATTCCTTTTGTTCATAAAAATAAAAAAATATCTAACGTATATTATTTATGTACATAAAATACTAAATACAGCACTGCAAAAGAGCAAATAATAGAATAACACATTGTTTTATCTATACTAATATTATAAAGAGGTAAAGTTTGTGATATTGTGAGTTTGTGAGTTTGTGACGTTTAAACCGATTTAGATGAAATTTGGTAAGAAGATAGTTTGCGACCCTGTGAAGGACATATGATACTTTTTATCCCGGTAATTATCCCTCAAGGGAGTGAAAACGTTGATGAAAGTTTGTATGGGGAAGCAAGCTTGGGACGGACCCGAGCGAAGCGAGGGTGAGTCGCTAGTTTATAATATAACTATAAAAATATATTTTTATCAAAGTACATTTTTGTAGGACCATAGAAAAACAAATAGACAAATACAAAAAATAATTTATTTATATTACTCTACATCACACCCTCCGATCTACACGCTCTTTCCATGATGCGGCTGTGCTAAGTATGTTGCTGTTTTCAATCGCGATCAGAAGTAATAAAATATATGATATACTATACTCGTATAGCAGCATTAAGTATTAATAATTAATCTAAATCTTTAAAATCTATTATGTTTCTACTAGATATTAAGATCAACATATTATTATATTATTTTTAGAATCTATAAAACCTACAGAAATGCTTAAATATAAAGTAATAATATAAAGTCATTTTGAGAGCCGATGGTGCCTTAAGAAAAGACTAAGAGTATGTGACCACCAAATACTAATATGAAATATATTGTTTCTTCGCCTTCAGAAACGATCCTGTGACCTCTGTCGTAGTATTCAATACGATTCCATGCACAGCTGTTACAAAAAAAGATATTCGAATGATATTTCTATACAAAATGAACATAATATAATCATACCATTCAAATATGTTCGATTCAACACGTATATACATATGTAGTATAAAGTGGATAAAAGCGTTACGCAAATTACATGACCTAAATTGTAATAAATGTGTAGTCAGCCATCTAAATCCTGAAGAAGCCAAAGTGATTATTACTTTGACATGTAAATGAGAGTCTTTTAAGTCGATCGTTGATTTTTTTTTATATAATTTAATATGTGCTTCAAAGACGTGATGTGTCATTTTTTACATTTTATTTCTGTCGTATTTCTATTTATACGAGAATTTCATTTCAGCTATACCTATAATAAAATTGTAACTTAGCTGAATCTGTATGTTAAATATTTTTTGGAAAATCTTATTGAAATAGACATTATTTTCGATACAGAGGCCGAATCTATAGTTTTTAGAATTTTTGTCTATCTGTCTATCTGGGAACGCATCACGAGAAAACCACTAGACAGATTTTGAAATTTAATATGATGATAGCTGGTTATCCGGGTCAACATATGGGATACTTTTTACTGTGGGAAAATATCTCATCTCTGAAAAATCTATACTAAATGTTAAAACTTAACTAGGGACGAACCCGAGCGGAGAGAAAGTTAGTAGCTAGTTTTACATCAGTTCGAGACGGGCGGTGAGAAATCAAGACCAAATGGCTTTGTGTTCTCCGAGACATAGAGATGATATATATATATATACAAACAACTTCCTAATTCCTGACTGTGAAAGACTTCTCAGACCCGGGCCTCAAACCCAGGACCTCTGGATCTCCGTGCCTTACATGCCACAAGACCATCGAGCTTTTAGGTACTGATTTTATGATACCATTTAATTGAAAACGTAATAATGTAAATGATTATATAATTTGAAATCTTCCAAAATAAATTAACATAAAAAAAATATTAAACAAGCTTTTATATCATATATCTTGTGTCATAAATGAGCTAGATTTAAGTTAAAGTAAAATTTTCATTTTTCAGGTATTTATTCTTATTCTTCTCAACAAACCCTTTTATGTGATATCCATAATATGGGTGTGCTTAAAAAAACATAGTCCGCCATCGTTGGGAGTCCGCCATGTTGAATTTACAATGACGTCACTTATCTAACCATGCATTGTCATCCAAACTAAACGTATATACAAAATTTCAGCTCAATCTGTAGAGGATAACTACTTTAATTCAATTATAAGATTTGACCCGGACAAACATTCATCTATACATATAATAAAATTCTAACTAAGTTAAATCTGTACATTAAATATTTTTTTTTAAATCCTATTGAAATAGATATTATTATCGATACAGAGGCCGAACCTATAGTTTTAAGAATTTTTGTCTGTCTGTGACCGCATCACAGAAAAATCACTCAAGGGATTTTGAAGAAATTTGGTATGGTAATAGCTGGTTATCCGGGTCAACTAATATACTAATACGAGTATACTAATATATAAAACCTAAGAATTTGGTTTTGGTCATATGAACGCGGGCGTAGCCGCGGGCAATGCTAGTACAAACATAAAATCATTGCAAGTTAAATAAAAGGTTGTAAAAAGAAATTCTTTAAAAGTGAATTCATATAATATGTTAGTCCTGAGGCTATCAAATAAATACACTTTTATCGAGATTGATCCTAAACAAAAACAAATAAACAAAACATCAATAAAAATAAAACGTTTTATTTATTTGGTTGTTGGCACTACATGAATCAAGGGGAGAGAAAATGGAAAAGTTTTAGAAGGGAACTTTGAACATGACATAAGAAGGCTTGTAAGCGCTATCGAATTTTCACGAAGACGTTTTTTTAATATACTTTAGAATATTTTGAAATGAATATATAAATCAAAACTAGGGAATGTGACGCGACTCTTCCTACATTATATTTCTACCATAAATTTAGTATTTTATGCGCTGAGACTAATAATTATTATTACACGTACTTATTTTTTAACACCCCCAGGTAAATTTCTAAGAAATTAATTAAATTTCTAAGAAATCTATTGCTAACTGTAACGCCGGCGTGTCCGCGGTCGTGGAGGTCTCACTTGCAATCCTGGGATATACAAATATTTTCTAACAACGTTCAAGACTGATTCTACTCGCTGATAATTTTTTCTAATATATTGTGCTTAGACTGTCAGAAAAAAGACAATGCTATGGGGTAACAAAATTTTACATTAAGAATATACTTTTGGTATAGAATTTGCAAATTTTCTCATATCTCATATATTCTTCAGACAGAACTGGTTTTTGTTTTGACATTTCATAGATTGTTTCTTACTTACTACGACCGCTTTTAGTTGGGAAAGCACATCTGTGTATATACCTATACCTCCTGGCTTGTCGCTACCGTATATGCGTGTACACTTACAATGGTGAATTCGTAGACCAATCCACTAACCGACAAACCAATACAAACATAATTCGTTGGCTTACTATTACAAGGTTCTATGTTAATTTTAATGAAGTTTAGTAATTTTTACATAGATACTTCGTTATTTTGTTATCGTAAAAAAACAACATAGAACTATGTAAAATTGAATATTTTGTAGTTATAGTGCCGCTATCTAGTGGTTTGTTTTTGCAAAACCTTGTAGCCATGAACGAATTAACCACTCGTTCATGCTTGTAGCATTAATAACTAAATAAGTACTAAAATTGTAACATAGAACCTTGTAATTGTGAGCCAACGATGGTAAATCTAACTTGTGAATACCTCGTCCTGCGATATATTTTCTAGGAGTCGTGAATGTATGCCCGGGAATCACATGTCAAAAATATACAAGTAAGCGGTATTAACTTTCAATAACTGCTTTTTTATTTACTTTTATGTTGGTACAAGGAAAATACGATTTTACTTTGCGAGCTGGTTCTTTCATTTGCTTATTCATGTACGTAATATTGAAATATTACGGCTGTTGAGTCTTAATACCTGTAGAATAAAAATATATTATTCGTCCAACAACAAAAATAGCGCCAACCTCTATATCCATAAGACTGTAAATATTTTTTGGTGCGATAGTTTCTATATATAATAATAATATTAATTTAATCATAATATTTTATATGAGTATATCAACAGATGGATATCAACAGTTGAGGAGAGCAAACTTTGCCAAACTTAAAATAGAGACGCTACGCTCGCTCGGTCAATTAATTATCATCGATGCCTTAAAAATCCTTTTGACCCGATATATTCGAGTCATTTTTTATTATAACACAGTAAACCGACAATAATCGAACGAATAATATTTTTTTCTCCATCAGTTTAACGGACGAATAAATTTCTATATATTTTTTTATTTTAAACAAATACGAACGAAATTACATGACTAACTAACACTAGTATTGCAAATTTCATATGAAGTCGCACCTTAAGCTGATATTGAAAAAATATTAAGAACACCGAACTAAGATTCAGCTAATTATGGAATAATGATGGAAGAAGTCACTGCATTATGTTTGTTACTCTGTAGTGGTACGAGTATAGTGCGAAACGATAGAGTGAATGTTTTTTTCTCGCTGCTACAATTTAAATGAAATATCGACATTTCAAAACAAATAAACCGGGTTAATGTGAGACTTTTTAAATAATACTAGCTACTCACCCTTGCTTCGCTCGGGTTCGTTCCTTGATACGTTTTAATGGTTAGAATAGATTTATCAAAGATGGGATATTTTAAGTATCCTATCCGCAGTAAAAATTATCCTAAATATTGACCCGGATAACCAGCTATCATCATACATCGAAATCTGGCAGCAGTCAGGTGATTCTTTCGTGATGCGTTTCCAGACAGACAGACGAAAATTTTAAAATAAAGTTAGGCCTATGTATCGATAATAGTACAAGTTTTACAAAACAATAAAACTTGTATTATTAAGGAGAGACGATGCACAGCATCTGTGAGAGGGCGCTGTATACTTCCCTTTTATTAGCCAATCACTTACGACTTCCTCTTGATATTTTCGACCAATCAACGCCTTGCTTGAAATCACGTGGTCCCAGGTGGCAGGGCGCCAAAGGCGAACGTTCTTACCTCATAGAAGTCTCTCACCAGGAGAACTTGAATGGATGCTGTGCATCGTCTCTCCTTAATAATACAAGTTTATTGTTTTGTAAAACTTGTACTATTATTTGGGATGTGACGATGCACAGCATCTGTGAGAGACGTGTTTATAACTCCTGGTGACCACAATGACGCTATGTGAGGAAGAAAACTAAATTAGATGCACAAAGGCTGCAAGAACAAAAAAGACACATGAGTAACACCGTTTTATTATAAATCAGAATCACAATAAATCAGCAATAATATAAATGATTCTATTATACTCGACTTTTTAGCCACAATTAGCGAAATAAATCAAACTGGCTCAAAATTATTCGAAAAACTCTCTACACATTGACTTTTAGCTCTGCTTATGATTTGCTTACAATAATATTTAGCAAATGTATTTTTATTTTGCCAATTACCACGGGTAATAATTTCTTCTATTGGAAAATTGTTAACCCAGTTTAAAGAAGCTACAGCCGAACGCAAACTTCCTGGAGAAGCCGTAATGCCTGCGTCTTTCAAAACAGTTTTAATCCAGTTACCAATAACAGTACGCGACGCACTTTGCATGACACCTCTAATCGACACAAACAAGGACTCATTACATTCGGCTGTACGCCTCGTCTTGCCTAACTCAACTACTTTTCTTAACCATCTAACTGGGCATATATTCTCATTGCTATGACAAGAGAGCTTCCAACCTGATTGCCTGTATGTAGCTGTGTCTGTTTTTGACCCAAATACAGGATAAAGGATAATATGACTGTCATTGTCAAAGTAACAGTCATTAGATATTCTGAGTAAAGTAAGATCGTGAACGCGTCTGCCGGATGCTAATAACAAAAGACATGCACAGCGGCGGGAAGCTTCAAACAAACTGATATTGTTCGGGGGATTCAGCTCCAGCCAGGCAAGTAGGTCACTTGGGTCCCAAATGGGTGATCTCTGTAACTTTGGACTTTGAAGAGAGATAGCTTTAAGAATATGTCGAACGAGAAAGTTAGAATTCAAATTTTCATTGTGTTTGAGTTGCCCAAAAGATAAAACTACTGACTTATGCAACAATACAGTCGGATAAGCTAATCTCTCTTCAAGGTGAAGATATGCTAAGAATCTCGAGAGACTAACATCACAAGGAAAGTGGCAATCAAAACTATTATTTTTACACCATTTCATCCATCGGGACCATGCTGGTCCATAGGTTTTTAATGTTGATTCTCTCCAGCCAGCTCTAAGAAGCGATTTTTCGGCTTCTGACCAAGCTTTAGTTACCTCGCCCCAGCTGCTATCTTCCAGACGTAAAGATCCATGTTCTGAACGTGAGGTGGTGGGAGGCCGGTTATCTGATCTATTAGCACTTGGTCCAGCTTGGTTATTTTCATTGGTCTGGCCAGCGCTCGTCGACGGAGATCTGGTAGCCAATAAGCCTTCTTCCACATTGGGGCTACTAAAAGAAATGTTCCTCGAGCAGCGTTTAAGTGGTGCAGAACTCGAGGTATTAAGCTTGGTGGTGGGAACACCCATGCCAGCTGGTATTGCCACTGACGACTGAATGCGTTGCAAAATTGTGCTGAAGAGTCCAGACAATCTTTGGTAACATATTGCTCCACAACTCTCGTTTCCTTGCTTGCAAAGAGATCTATTTGGGGAATCCCAAACTTTCGGAATATATTGACGAGAGCGGGTCGTAAAAGATGCCATTCCGAAATCCTTTTCCCGCGGGATAAGCTGTCTGCAATATTGTTGAATTTCCCGGGAATGTACTCTGCTGTTAATAAAATTTCTTTGTCTATCAAATCCAAGAGTTAATAAGTCATATGGAGCAACGCTGTTGATCGTGTTCCTCCTTCTCTTCGAACATAAGATATCACTGTTCGATTGTCCGATTGGAAATTCAAATGACGACCATGAAGCCGATTTCGAAAATTTTTTACGGCTGCTATTAAGGCAAACATCTCTTTCCGATTGGAATGCCAGTGACGTTGGGCTCGCGTCCATCCTCCTGATATGAACTGGTCGTCCAATTGTGCCCCCCACCCGTAATCCGCTGCATCTGTTGTCAAAAAATGTTGAATTAACTGACAATGCAGGCTGCTCCGAATTATTGGACTCTGCAGAGTAGTAATCCACCACCTGAGATCTCTCATGACAACACATGTTACTTCTACTGGTTTGCGGTTGGATGGAAGGTGCATCAGATTTCGTAAATGTATTTGAAGTTGACGGCAATGAAGACGACCTCTTGGTACAACGAAACAGGCAAAGTTTAGAGTTCCTAATATTATTTGAGCCTCCTTTAATGACATTTTCAGTCTCCGTACTGTCCTCTTCAATATCAGTAATAACTTCTGGATCTTTTTGGTTGGTAAGCTTTTGTAGTTGGCTTTGGTGTCCCAGACTAACCCTAAATATTCTATTTTTTGAACTGGCTCGATTTCGGATTTGTCGTAGTTTATTGTCCATCCTAAGTTCTCCAAAACACTTATTGCCGATCTTACATGGCTTTGAAGTTGACTTTTCGACTGACATGCGATTAGAAAATCGTCCAAGTAAACTATGACTCGCATGCCCTTGGATCGCAGGTACTGTGCTACCCAGTTCGTTAGAGCTGAGAAGACCTTGGGCGCACATGACAGCCCGAACGGGAGGCATGTCATTTGCATAATCACGTTGTCGTAAACAAGCCTCAGAAACCGCCGATGACTCCTTGTGACGTTCACATGGAAATAAGCTGAGGACAGGTCCAATTTCACCATCCAGTCTTCCCTTTGTAGGAAGTGAGGAACTTGAAAATGAGATATCAGTTTGAAGGTTTTCGGAATTATAAAACAATTCAGTCGCTTTAAATTGAATATTGGCCTTTCGGATCCATTGCTCTTTTTTGTCAAGAACATTGTAGAAAGAAAACTTGGACCCACATCCTGTGGCTTCACAACTTCTAGAACGCCTTGTTGTAATAGCTGCTTGATCTGAATTGACATTTCTGGCGTATGAGCGGTCTCGAACCGCTTCATCATTCTTATTGAAGGAAGAATGAGTGGTGGCTTGGAGGTAAATGGCAGACGCATTCCCGTAATCAATTCGAGAAGGGCTTTCGGAGCCCGAAGCATCTGCCACTGTCTCAGATACGCTCTGAGACAGCCCCCGTAAAATGTTTGGCGAATTGGTTGCGAGTCATTTATCAGGTTGCCCCTTGGTTCGTCTATTGACTTTACCTTGGGATTTCTTGCTCTTAGTGTTCTGCTTGAATGAGCTTGTGCTATGGTTTTTCCGATAACTTGACTCGTTAGCTTTTTGACGAAAGGGCTGATTTGATAAGTCTCGAAAATTGTGCTGAACTGGCTTGCTAGGCACTTTACGACTATTGACAGCCTGGCTCTTCTCAGAAGAAAACCAAGGAGCCATTTATCTGATCCACCCGTATTCTGAATATAGGACCGCAGTAGAGTTTCGTCAAATAAAAAGCTAGAACTCGGAGGAATCTTACGCAGACCCTCACGCAAATTCTTGTTTGAAATCTCACTAAGGATACGCTCCCTACGAGTTTCAATATATTCCGCCCGTTTCCCGCACACTAATTGCATAATCTCCTCACTAATTTTATGAAATTTAGATGAGGGTAGGAAACACTCAGATATTTTATCGTAAATATTTGAAGGCGACAGCGTACTGTCTGGTAAAGCTGTCCAGTCAATAAATTGCTGCAAACAATGATTGAGAACCTCTCGCTGAGAGATCAATGCGTTGCATAAAGCAGCTATTAATCTTTCAGAACTTGCTACGTAATCTTTGCCTTTAATAAATTGCCTGAGATCATCATTAATTTGTAGCTCAACGAAGCCAGGCGCGGCGTTATGGATTTTTAACACATCATTATACCGAACATCTTTCCAAGCTGTATCACCGAATCTTTGTAAAACCTCAAGCCGGTGCAAATGTTCCGGATTAGCTTTAGGTACTTTAGGTTCCTTAGAGGATGTATTGACAACACCCAAATTTAAACGGGGAATGTTATTAACGAAGCTCTCATGAACGGCCGCAGGCCGTGTTAAATTAAAATTTAAACATGACGTGCTAGGCCCCGGTGTTGGCTCTGATACGGGTAGCCCACTCGATTGAACGTCACTTATTGCCGTTACACTTTTGTTAGCAGTAACATTCGATGCACACATATTTTGCATTAAAATATTAGTCAAAATAGATACTTGATTGACAAGATTATTAATGTCTGAAGCTGACTCACCCGTTCTCCGCCTTTTTACCTCTAAATCGGATGAGTCAGATTGAGAGGAACTCGAACTTCCGCTCGAATGCAGGCGCTTTCGACCAGATGAAGGCATTTGCATGCCTACCTCCATTTCGTTAGGATTATCCTGATCAAAGCTTACGCCACTGCACTGATTATGATCACTCATCACTCACTTATTATAACACTATTTAGATATGATAATTGCTTTAAAACTAAACTCAAAGACACTTTTTCACTCTTATTTGAAATATTTTTTTCCTATTTTTCACTTTTTAACACTTATTAAGAAACGATGTTACTCGATCGGGAAATAACGACGCTATGAGATAAGAACGTTCGCCTTTGGCGCCCTGCCACCTGGGACCACGTGATTTCAAGCAAGGCGTTGATTGGTCGAAAATATCAAGAGGAAGTCGTAAGTGATTGGCTAATAAAAGGGAAGTATACAGCGCCCTCTCACAGATGCTGTGCATCGTCACATCCCAAATAATATTGACTTTTTAATAAGATTATCAAAAAAATATTTAATTTACAGATTCGACTCAGAATTTCGTTATATTTATAGATAACTCCCTATGAAAATACTATTATTATGCCAATTTTGCGTAAGTTTATCATACAACCCCCTAGTTTTAACGTGTCCTTAATTTTAGAGGTTTCCTTAATGTTTGATCTTTAATACAATTTTTACAATCAAAAACTACTTGTTGTGATATTTCACTTAAAAATTACCACTTAATCAGACAATTATAAATACATAAAATCACATGTTTATCCCATAAAGGAATCGAACTTAGGTTCTTTACAATATAAACTATGTCCCACTATTTTTTACGACCACCTCGTGTATTATGTTAAGATAACATGTTTTATTTTAACATACTCCGCACGCAGCGTTCACGCGCAGTTTACATTAGCATTATGCCGCAGGGACCGCCTTAGGCTATTTGGCACTTTGTTTACTCGAATCTAGCCCTATATAATTATTTATTTTTGATATTATTAACTCATTTATAGGTCTAGTGGATAGCTTGTTTAGCAGCAGATCCTGAAGTCGAAGGTTTGAATCCCGGGTCGGGACAAGTGTAGGTATTGAATTCTATCTAGAAATTCTCAGTAACAGCCTGGAGTTAAGAAGATGGCGGTGTCACCACCTGGTGTTGGAGAGCACAAAGAGCTAGTCGGTTCGGTGCCTGTTATTTCTCTGGTTTTATCGAATTGTCGTCCCGCCGGGTTTTTAGAGAAAGTGCCAATGAGATAGACATCCGTGTACGCACTTTATTTTTTTTTATTTTTTTTTGTAAGGTTAATTCTTAAAATTGACCTTACAAAAATACAAACAATCACATGAAGCACATATTCAACAGTATTTTTAAAAATCTATACATTTATCATCTCAATCTGACTCACAATGAACAGTTGATGAATAAAAATATAATAATAATTACATATAAAATATATGTAACAAATGTACGAATTAATGAAACTTTTTGTAGATACTATATATTTATTTGATTAGAGGGTAAAAATCTTACAACACTATCACGACGTAAGCACGTGATTAATAAAAACTTTTTGTTCCTACAGTCGAATAAATGGAATAATTATTGGATATCTAATACATGTTCAGAATTATTATAGCTCTCAATATATAATTTGCAATTTCTTTACTCAATTGAAACAAATCTCGTGTAAAATATAATTACTTTTTCTATACAGATCCAGTAACAAAAAACGTAATAATTATAATTATGATACCTAATATCAACATAATTATCTCACGATTTTACCCTTTTGGGATTCTTAGAGTTTCTTTAGCTCATTTTGTTACTTCGTTCCCGAGATTACGATAATACGAATATTGACCCCTTTTTTAACGTTGGTAAATGTATTTACGCACACCATCTGCATATATACAGGCAGTTTTGTGAACTAAATGGCTAGAAAAACCAGTAAAACCTACTAAAACCCAACAAAACCTTCCCCGTCTTAATAGGGTGTCGCAGGATCGCTTACGCACTCAACCACGACGGCAGGTCTACTGAAGCAGAAACCTTCATCATATTCAACTAACTTCATATCTTCGAAACGGACTGAGCGATTCCAAAATACTCTGCTTAACAATTAATAATAAACGTTCAAAACTAACTGTACCTACCTATTATACAAAAAAAAACAATAGAAAAAAATGTTTTTTTTTAATTATTAGTTATGGTGTTTTACTTTTATCTATCTAGCGAAAGAAGCTATATCGAAGGTGCGTAAAGATGAAAAAAAAGTAAAATAAGCAGTCTATCTGCAAAACACAAACGACCAAGGATTTAAATTACTATTGAAATAGAATAGATTTCCATGTATTTGCTCGTTTACTTTGATATAAAGTATCAAACATCTTTACAATGGAATAAATATAACATATCAATTTTCTTAGATAAAAATATAAAGCTTTATACCATTAGAATTGATCACAAAACGAGTACACTTCCTGCAATCGATATAAATATAAAACTACATAATATACCTATGTATATATAAAAAAATATCAAAATCCATACTTAATATTATAAATGTGAAAGTGTGTTTGTTTGTTTGTCCTTCTTTCAAGTGGAAACGGAGTGACGGATTCGCGTGATATTTTGTGTGGAGATAGTTGGAGGGCTGAAGAGTGACATAGACATACTTTTTACCGCGGGAGATTATCTAATTTCCACGGGAAAACACGTTCTAGTACAATCCAAAAAAATATTTATGATCAGAATTACTTGAAACTTGGTATTAATGCTTTTCAATAAAAATAAATAAATACGTGTTTTAGCATTTTTCGAAATTCATCCTATAAGGGGATAAAATAGGGGATGAAAGTTTGTATGTAACTACCTTTTTAGAGACTTTTTTCTAGTTTTAGCGCGAGCGAAGCCGCGGGTTCTGCTTGTATGTATATAAAATTGATATATAAAAGAGCTTACCCTGGCTTCGCTTGGGTGCGTAAGCATCTAGGGGCTTAACTGTATCTCTATATCTTACTTCAGGTCATAGTCTCGTCTATGTTATTACTGAATTGTATACAAATTTATCCAGCTGTACAGCGTGAAGTAGACCTAAAAACATACATACACGCATACAAACATTTCGCATTTAAAATAGTAGTCCGATGACATATCATGACCACCTATACATATAAATAAAATCGAAGTGTCTGTTTGTAATGTCAAAATAACAGATTTTTTCTAAATGCATATGCAATTATATACGTTACTTATAAGAAAATCACAATTTTTATTTTTTCTGTCTGTCTGTCTGTCTATCCGTCCGTTTGTTTCAGCTAATCTCCGAATGGACTGATTTTGACGTGACTTTCACTGGCACATAGCTGATGCTATAAGGAATAATTTAAGCTACTTTTATTTTAGAAAAAGAATTAGGGTTCCGTTCAAAAAAATTAAAACGTACCTAGAGAGGTCCTAAGCAAGTCACTAGTACCTATGACATAACATTTAGATAATAAGTCACATTTTTAGTTCATCACATATTTTTACTTAGTATATAGATAAGTGACAGCGATCTTATAATATAATTTTGCCTAAAACCAAAAAGCTTTTAAGCCAACAACTAAAAATAGATTCTCCACTACCACACAGCCAGTTTAGTGTCTTTATTTTCTCAACCTATCATTAGAACAAATAGCGTGAAGTTATCTTTATGTCTGGGTCAAAGTGACCCAACGTTAACACAAATTACATGGAAAGAAGAGATATGTATAGACTCGCATTTATAAAGTAGATAGTACATATTATATGGTATTCATAATGAAAAAATAAAATACACATATTTCATTTATACCTCAATTTACTATATTGCATGTATACTTACATCAGATCATCAGGTCAAGGAGTCATTTTTTCTTATATATTTACCATATTTTTAAATATTACACCAAAAAAGTTTATAATGATATTTTATTAAGGGATAAAGTGTAAAATAATATTAATGTTTTGCTATGAACAGAAAAATAAAAGCATTTGTATTTTAAATTAATTGATACACTACACATATATATATACCTTTCAATACATACTATATAATATAAATATAAACACCAATGACTGGAGTAGAAACATTCGTACTAATCACATAAATGAATGCCCCCAGCTGGATTCGAACCCGCGACCACTGGCACAGCAAGTAGGATCACTACAAACTGAGCCAAACGTATCGTCAAAAATTAATTAATTTATATAATTATGCCTATTATATTCCTTTACTAAAATTTGAGTACATTATAAAAAATCGTTTACAAAAAAAACGACCAATGTTTGTTATTTTGCAACTTGTCAAAAAATAATCGTAAAATATGCAGATATAATACTATAACTGAAATATTTGTAGAAAAATAAAACTTAAGTGGCCAAAAAGCATCTGTCGCTTTATACTAGTAATATTTTAACTTTGAAAAAATAGATATCATTTCTTAACAAAATATTATAAACATCTAATATTCTCGTAGTGGGATGTAGTTGGTGCTTTCCTGATTATAGCATGAATGATAGATAGTGTCCTTTTATAAAAGATCTTCAAAATCACTTTGAAATTTTCCTTGAAGAGTTGAATTTTTCTTCTGAAATCTTGTATATATTCAAAAATAATATACTTATCTTACCTAAATCCATATCTAATACCTTTCTATTTATATGTTGGACCAGCTATCAACATACCAAATTTCATCAAAATACGTCCATTGGTTTTCTCGTGATGCGTTCCCAGAGACACAAACAGACAGACAGACAAATTTTTTAAACACTATATTCGACCTCTGTATCGGTAAATGACTATTTCAATAAGATTGTCCAAAAAATATTTAGTGTACAAATTCGACTTAGAATTTTATTATACGAGTATGTATAGATGTAACATTAGTCGTAATATGATTACTACATACTGTGAATTTGTTTTAGCAATAAAAATATGTAATTCGTTCTCATTTTGGAATATCATTAAAACTCATAACAAACTTTACGACAAACGGCAAAAGCTCAAGTAATAAAATTAATATTTTAACCATAATATCTAATGCAAAAATGTGTGTGTTATTGAACGTATGTAGAGCTCGTGAGTGTATATAAGTTATTTCTTTACTTTATTTGCCTTTTATTTATAGTCAAAAAATAT